AGACCTTTAAAAGTTCCTTCTCGCTTGAGACCCACTTCTCCATTCCCCACCCTAATCCCAACTGAATTTTCATTACCATTGGTCTTTTCGGATGCGCTGTTACACCCCCCCCCTCCAACGGGAGCAGTTATTTTGGGAAGAAGATGAAGGGATAAAAGAGCTCGGAAAGGGTACTACAATGCTGGGGAAAATTCAGTTGGGATTAGGGTGGGGAATGGAGAAGTGGGTCTCAAGCGAGAAGGAACTTCCGAAGGTCTGCCTTTTGCAAAACTTTTTTCCAAGGGCAGGACGTGCCCTGCATGGAAATCGAACCTAGACGTAATATGGACCGTCTGACTATAGAAAGAAAGGTTCAGTAATTGATAGGAAGGTGTTCAGAAAAACTGAGTGAAGTCATAAACTACCAGTAATCCATTTGAACAGTTCAATGAACTTGAGTAGAATTATTAGTACCTGTCCATTGTGGAATTCCTTCGTCGGAAACATCCCTCTAGAAACGATGGTGGATTAGGGCGATTGAATGACAAATACGTTGAGGCCTGTAAAAGCAATATTACCTTTTTCTAAATCTTAGACATTTATTATTCCAGCACGCGAGTTACTTCACTAAACAAACTTACTGTAGGATGTATGAGGTCTCGATCTCGGACGGGTTGCACTCCACTGTTCTCTACCAGATTGTAAACCTGATAATTTACTATTTGAAAAGATCATATTGGGACTGTAGAAAACTGTTGAAATCTTGTGGGTCTTACCTTCCTAGCCCTCCGGATCCTACGCCATAGTAGACGTAACAGAGAAACGAGTCTCATAATTGCTTTATAGATCTCTGAAATTGTAAAGATATTAAGGACAGGCTGGAAGAGTGGATGTCGCAGGGGGGGTAACAGCGCATCCGAAAAGACCAATGGTAATGAAAATTAAAGGAAAGATTTCCCACTTGTCATCATTCTATTGAAAATATTCCTTTTATAGGTGTCACCTATACACCAGCTCCGTATCTGCTGCTGATACCGAGTACTGGGAGATAGACGATACTATTGTAAGTT